ATAACGTAAATGTCTTAGAAGGAAAAATATCCAACGAGTTACCGTAAGCTTCACCCTGTAGTTCGAGTGGAGGTCTGACACACCGTAGACATAGAATATGTTGTGGTTTTCAAAGCCTACTGGTAACAGTGGGGCAAAGAAATGCTGTGCGAAGTAATGAAGCATTTTCCACTTTCCTCCATACTCTGAAAATAATTAAGAAAATTAAGAGAGGGATGGGATCATACATTAAGACAGATTTGTGTCCACAAGGCTCAGCTGGGTGTGACTTACAATGATTCCAGGGAGCGATCATATAAGGGAGAGTTAACAGAGTAGCCCCCATCTGAGAGTGGCAGTGCTACGTTAACACTTAGCTGCTATCTAAAGGTTAGACATTCACATTTGTCCAGAGGTACCTGGGAAAAAAAGACCTAGTAATCTACCTTCCCCCAAAACCAGCTACTAAAAACCCCATAGAGCACAGTTCGACCCTGGCACCCATGGGGATTGGCCTAGAGGAGCTGGGGATGTCCATGCCATCTGGTTTTACTGATTGATGAGCCAAGTACGGCTCCCAAAGCACGTGCACATTCTCTCGTGTCATCCGAACCAGGTCTGCAGAAACAGCTTTCAGCGTCCCACGTTACAAATGAGAAACATGTACGCGTCAACCACCGCCTTTGAGTCAACTCGAGGTCATAATGACCCTACAGAACAGGGTAGAACGATCCCTTTGGGTTTCCCAGGCTGTAAATCAGGGGTCCTCAAACTTTTTAAACAGGGGACCAGTTCACTGTCCCTCAGGCCCGTTGGCAGGCCGGACTATAGTTTATTAAAAAAAGCAATGAACAAATTCCTATGCACACTGCACATATCTTATTTTGAAATAAAGAAACAAACGGGGCAAAAACACCCAGCGGGCTGGATAAATGTCCTCTGCGGGCCGCATGTGGCCCGTGGGCCATAGTTTGAGGACCCCTGCAGTGTAAATCTTTATGGGAACAGGAAACCTCATTTTTCTCCCTCGGAGCAACTGGTCGATGCACACTGTTGAGCTTTCAGCTGACAGCCCAGCAGTAACCCACTATGTCCTCAGAGCCTCTTAAGAGAAGCATCCGGAGGCAATGGTTTGAGCCACAGCTAGCACTTTCTCATAAGCAATTCTGTCTTAAGCAGAGCTGTGTGCACCAATGCTCCTTTTTATTGTGAAGGAAGATATCAAAAGCATTGGCGGTGAACAGGTTACAAATGTTCACTTATAAGAATTATTTAGAACTCAGAGATTCCCTTTCCCATAGGCACAACACCTTTGGAGCACACCAAAACAGCCACTATTTAAAAAAAAAAAAGGTCTGGCAAGTTTAGACTGTTTGAAAACATACAGATAATGACCTGTGGAGAGTCTCAATGCTGGGTCTTGGTATGTCTTCTATGCTGATCTCACAAACCTAAAAACCCATCTTCCTTTTTTCAAGATCCTTCTATTTCAGAAGGAAGGTCACATCCCATAAAGCACCGTAGCACTGAACACCTGAGAGAAAGAGAGAGAGAGAGAGAGAGAGAGAGAGAGAACCTTGCTCGAATGCCAAGTACAAACTGCTGAGATAGAGGAATGCAGTTTTGGAGTTGAAGGGGAAAGATTCTTTAGGGATTTGGAAAATATTAACTCACCTCCTTTCAATCCCAACTGTTAATTAAAAACAAAACAAATTTTTAAGCAAAACCCTGTTTCCATCAAGTCGATTCTGACTCATGGCAATTCCATGGGTGTCAGAATAAACTGTGCTCCACAGGGCTTGCAATGGCTGGTTTTGCAGAAGTCGATGGCCCGACCTTTCTTCGGAGGCACCACTGGGTGAGTTTGAATTGCCAACCTTTTAGTTATTAATGTGGTAACTGTTTGTACCATCTATAGACTCTAAGACTCATAGAATTTTCTCTTAGAAAACAACAATAAAGGGAAGTGGGAGAGGCCATTCATGTTAAACATATGAAATTAACTAGAACTTAATATTTTTTAAATATTTTCATAAATAGCAGGTGGCTTAGGCTTAGGAAATTGACATGGTATCGTGTGTGATATACATTACAGGATAAAGCCTTTAAACATGTGATTTTAGAAATCAACGTCAAAACACACTGCCCTCAGGAGGACAGGAATTAAAACCTAAGGTCTTACTGACACACATCCTAATCAGTGGCACAGCTTGGACAGCAGCATAACACTCCATGCCAATTGCTAAGTTACAGGTTACACAGGACGTGACTTCTGGCTTTGTCCGTAGTCAGGGGACTGCAGGCAAGGCCCTAGCCCTGCCTCTGAGAGAGAGGAGCTTTTCTTCAACTGCCCACCCCTACTGCCCCTGCTCCTTCTTGATGGGGCTGTGTCATGTGACTTCCTCAAATCAACAGTGTCCACAGCTCATGCATAAAAGGGCCTGGAATGTTTGCCTGACTGGGCATACCCTGTGAGCCCCGAGGACGAGCCACCAAGGTGGCAGTTGGAACCCACCAGCCATCCTGGGGAGAAGATAAGGTTGTCTGCTCCCAGAAGGATTTACAATACCCTTTTGACCCATGGTAAGTTGTTTTCGTTTTTAATATTTTTTGCTTTCTTTTCTGTTTTTTGTTCACTTCCTCTTTGTGTTTTGTCTGATTTTCTGTATGTGAAATCCAGCATAGGTAAATCTATAGAGACAGTCGTTGGTGATGCAGTGATTACAATTACATAGGGGCTGCGATCTGAGCGGTCAGAAGTTTGAAAATACCAACTCTGAGAGAGAAAGATGGGGCTTTCTACTCTCGTCAAGAGTTACAATCTCGGGAATTCACTATGCTCCAGGTGTGCAGTGACTGGATTGCTAAGTAGAGCGCTAGGTTTTTCTGCCTAGTCCTAGAACTAAAAAGTTCGGCAGTTTCATTAAACTCTGCTCAGCGTCGTCTGGGGTCTTAAAGTCATGAAGATAAACAAGTGGCCATCTAGCTGAGAAGCTTTGTTGCTTCTCAGCTAGATGGCCACTTGTTTATCTTCATGATAAGCAGGACACCAGCCTGTGTGATCACGAGATGTCAATGGGATGAGGTATCAGGCATCTAAGACCCAAAACAAAATCATACCCAATGTGAATGAGGGGAGGCGGCATGGAGTGGAGACCTAAAGCCTATCTGTAGACAACTGGACATCTCCTCACAAAGGGGTCACAAAGAAGAGATGAGCCAATCAAGATACAATAGAACACCGATGAAACACACAACTTTCCTCTAGTTCTTTAATGCTTCCTTCCCCCCACTATCATGACTTCAATTCTCCCTTACAAATCAAATTATACCATAACATGCACACTGCTACAGATAAGAGCCTGAAACACAGGGAATCCAGGATAGATAAACCCCTCAGGGCCAACAATGAGAATAGAGATACCAAGGGGATTAGGAGAGGGTGGGGGGAGAAAGGGGGAATTGATCACAAGGATCAACATGTAACCCCCTTCCAGGGGGATGAATAACAGAAAAGTGGGTGAAGGGTAACAGAGGACAATGTAAAATATGAAAATAATAATCGATAACTTATCAAGGGTTAATGAGGGAGGGGGGGGATAAGGAGCTGATACCAAGGGCTCAAGTAGAAACAGAATGCTTTGAAAATGATGATGGCAGCATATGTGGAAATGTGATTGACACCATGGATGAATGTATGGATTGTGATAAGAGCTTTAAGAGCCCCCAATAAAAGTATTTAATTTTTAAAAAACTGCTTAGCATCAGGGCAATCAGCAAGTCTCTGCTGACAGGTAGGAAGGAGCTCTACATGGGGTGTGATGGCAGGGGCTCACACTCAAGTGTCCTGTCTAGAAGATGAGAATTCTACCACTGAGCTACTACTGTCTGCATGGTAACTATACAGGCAATTAACACATATGATAATCACCGATGTCATGAGCTCCGGTGGTAGGGCAGTGATGTGTTGGGCCACGAACTGCACGGTCTGCATTTAAAACCATAGGCCTTTCTGCTCCCGTAAAGAGTTGCAGTCTCAGAAACTCACACGGGGCAGGTTCTGCCCTGTGGTTATTGGCTGGCACTGCCATCCTCGGCTGGCATTGTAGTGAGTTTGTTTGTTTTGGTTTTGGTTTGTCTTGTGTGAGGTGGTGTGGGGTTTGTGTAAGGAGAACATTTTCCCTTCATCGTCTGTTGTAGCAAATATTTGTAATATTGTCGGTAAGAAGGTCTTGAAACCTAAATGTTTATTATAATCATCTCCAAGGACAACTCAGTCCATTGGCATAAAGATAATCGTCCATATCCTACTTTGATGAGTAATGTCTGGGGTCTTTAAAGCCTGTGAACAGCTAGCTAAGATATAACTATTTCGTTTTAGTTGTGACTTGTGTCTGCCTGTCAGGAGTTAAAGAGAATGAAGAAAACCAAAATTTCAAAGAAGAAACTAGTCTACAGGGCTAACAGGCCACACAATCCTTAGCCTCTTCTAGCCTGATCCCAGGACTAAATGCCTGGCCGCCACTATCAACCTTTAAGGCCAAGGGGGAAAATGGAAGGTCCAAGACAGAATGGGAGACAAGTGTAGAACCCTCAAATTTCTAAACAAAGACCAGACTTCCTGGACTAACAGAATCTAGAGAAAATATCTTTTTAATTTGAAAGTAAAGCCACCCTGTGAGGTTACCTTTGAGCCACTGCAGAGATTAGCGTATCCCGTGAGGAACATGCTGCCTTAAACAAGAAGACCAAACAGTCACCATTTATGCAAAAGAC